AGCAAGGAAAACAGACTTTCWGGGCTATCCAGACAACAGCATGGGGAAGCTACAGTGTTAACTATATAACACARTTTAAAGTCTTAGTTGGAAGCTGTTTTTCCAACAGTCTTTTGTCCTTACTCTCTGTTTTGGTGGCTCCAGTTTGAGAATTACAAATAGAGCAGGGTGGAGGCAAAAGAGAATAATCCAAGTGTCAGGGAGTCTTTACTGTGAATAAAAAAAAGGAAAAAAAAAAAGGAGAGAGAGACTTCAAAGCAGAAACCAGTTACTAGAGCTTGAACCACAGCTATTAGGAGAACTATTATAAGTCTGTCAAGTAGCAATTAGACTACTTTGCAAGAATATTAAGAACACGTATCTTCAGAGAAAGATTTGAAAAGGGGAAAAATAGAGAAACCTTTTAGTTTATGGAGTACTCTCTACTGCATTTCAGTTACTTATTTCCTGTTTATTTTCCACTTGAAAAATCACATCCCAGAAACATAATGTAATTTTTAAAAACTTTCATTTATGACCATTCCATTTAAAATGTTTTGTTGAAAAAAACACAAAAAATAAATGGAATGCTGTAAACAGATTTAAGTCAGCCACAAAAAACATTCTGACAGATGTTAGCATCTGTGAACATGGATCTTTCATGACAGTCTTTTCCAATCTGGGCTCTTTTCAAGTGAGAATACCTCCAGAGTTTTTTATGTTGTTGTTGTTAATTTCAGTATGTTTCATAAAACTTAAGGTAGGTTTTCCATTTTGGAAGGACAACTTTTCATTACATTAGTCCATCTCCTTAGAATGCTAGTTGCAGCATCTGAAGAAATGCAACTCAACTTTTAGTTGTGCATGTTGCCAGACACGTTAACCCATTGACTAGATTCGTGAAGATAAACAGCAAAGATCACTGGATGAAGAGAAAGAGGGAGAAAAAGGAAATCCAATTTAGAAATTAATTAGTTCTACAGGATTATCACTTGCCWATAAAACTGTTTAACAAAGAATTACATATGAACAGACTACTCAGAAACTTGCAACAACTTGCTAGACCACAATGAATTACAGCAACTATCATGTTTCTGTGGGCYTGCTCAGAAAGAGAAATGTGATTTTCCTCACTTCTGTTTCTTCCAGCCACTCAAACAAATCCTTGTCTCTTCTAAATATTTTGCTCCCCAAGGGTCCTGCTTGCATGGTGGCAGACCTTTCCACTGCTCTGTGATCTGGCGAATGGAAAACAAAATAAAGAGCAAAACCGAAAGAACCACGGATGAACTAGTGCAGAGACACAGATCACGCTAATTTTTAAAGTAAATGTAAGGTCTTTCTTTCGGGCTCGGAATAGAAAGCTACAGCAGGCTGGACTGCTAATTTTCAGGTAGGAAATAGGTTGAAACATGCYATGAGAAGTGAATGGAAAATTTGTCCAGTCACCCACAGATTTTAAAGTGTGGATTGAGAGCTACAGCTAGCATTGTTTTCTACCAGCAGTGGTTAGCTCTTCCTTCACGACAACACCCTTTTCTGTCCAGCCTCTTCACACAAATCCTCCAAGTGCTCTGACCAGTTTAACTGCCTCATGGTCCTAAAAATGCATCTATTTTAGTTACACTGACTACTACACAACCAGCCCTGTCCTTTAAGGCACAAAACTGACCAGCTCTATTTTATACTAAACTCACGTGGCCTGCTCAAAACAAACAGATACTGGCAGGAGCAAAATCCAAATTATACACTGCTTTATCCCAGGAACACAAAGTACAAGGCCGACGCAGTGAGTCAGACACCTCTGAGCCAGTGAGCTCCTCAGGTTGACAGAAGTCTCTTTGGGATCCTCATACTTGCAAGCCAGGACATTTAAAAAAAAAAAAAAAAAAAAAAAAGAGTCAAAACAATTGGGTTTAGACAAACATGTGTTGTGTCATTAACAAAAGTATCTCTCTGCCATCAGAGGGGAAAAGGCAGTAAAAAGTATGTCAGGAATGCTGGAAATGGGCAGACAGTCACAGCGAGTCATATTTTCTTCTGGGTTTCTCTTCCCCCATGAAACTCCTTCAGCATGAAAAGTCCATTTGCAAGAGCAGTTAGTTATGGGGGAAAGGCAAATATTTCAACAATAATACGGAGAATGTGGATCCAATTTATGTACAACAGAAGCCGGAGAAGTCCTCAGTCTCTGCAAAGATTTCTCAGCATCCCTGGAAAATGCTTTGAATACTTCAGCTAAGCAAACTTAAACCCTTCAAACATATCCCTCTGTCTATCAGTAAAAGGCCATATTCCACACATGTGTATTTATGAACAATAAATCCTGGATGCACATGGGGAGCACTGTAGTTTCTGTTTCCCAAATGTTAGCTTTAATCAATTAAATCAACCCATTTTCTTACAATCAAAATAGAGGTTTCTCCCACAATTTGTCACTCTCTTGCAAGAAACTGGATGCCTTGAACCAAATGCATCACTTCCCCTGCTCCACATTTAATTTCATGCTTCTTTTCAGCTCAYTGAGGTTTTTCTTTTCATGCTTCCCTGTGACAACAGCATYTAGGTTATTGTGAAGCGTTGCAACAGAATATATGCAATWAAACAGCCTGTTTAAAATACTAATCAATTAGGTATTAATTTACATTGATATCTAATGAGAAATTTTTGTTTGTGAAACAAAGCATAATCTAAGTCATCCTGTGTCATAAAATACAAACCTTGCTTTCAACGCAGTTTTACTTTACAGAAAGAAGTTTAAAAAGGAAAAAAGAGGGTTTTTTAGTTACAAAAGAATAAGCCATCAGTTGGTTCAAAGGACTGCCAGAGGGTGTTGGACCCTTTTTCTCACTATCAGGTGACAGACACAGACATTTTTGGTAGAGGAGAAGTCTCATGTGGATGTTTTATCAGCCATGGAAATAGCAGCTGATAAAGCAGCAAGAGGTGTTTTTTCATTCCTCATTCTGTAAAAGAAGTGTTCATTCTCTTCTTTACAAAAGAGAAAGTGGGTTGTTTYCTTTTATTCTTCAGGATCCAAAACACAGCCTGATAGCTGTGAACAACAACAAACAAGCTGTTTTCTGAGCTGAGACATGAAATTTGARGAACTTTTAAGAGACCAGTTTAACAACTGCACATGACAATACCCAGCTAGAGCATGTACTCAGAAGCAACAGGCTCTCATTTTTTATTTTATTTCTATTTCACGTTTGACATAAGAAGTGCAATCTGAGAKTTCTGTTTTCTTTCACCTCATTCCTCTGAAGGGTGTGGGCTCAGGCAGGTTAACTACCTTAAATTGTGTGACTGCAAGTTAAGTGTACTTTTGGTTACAAATTTGAAATGAAAAAATCAGCTTGAATAACAGTCTGTCAGCTGCCCTGACATTTGATCAAATGTAGTCCTCTGGAAGAAAATCTACATGGAGCAGTAGTGAGAAAACCACATATTGATGTGGGCTGGTAAAGTACTTTACTCTTACTTTTTAAAAAATATATATGTTATAGTAAGAATGAATTAAAYACAAAGCAAAGAGTCCAGACAAGATGTATCAATTACTTTTTAAAAAATAATGTTCAATATARCTATTATTTGTAAAAGAGCTCCTAAAAATGTTGGGGATAAGGCTTTTGATAATTACTTTCCTGTGGGTGATGACCAAGCTTGTATTTTAGGAAAGAACAATCTTCCTAAGTTCCTTCAGGAGGAATTTTACTGATCAATGAGTGCTGTGAATTATCCAGTGGCTCATAAGGTAACAAGAATTCAGAGAATTCTGGTATTTSAAGAGCTCAGGAAGAAGGACCATTGAAGACACCACTATCCACCTCCAGGGTGGCTTAGAGGAACCTACCTTTCAAAGCCTATTGCACATTACATYTGGAGAGTTCTCAATAGGGCCTGTTAAACTAATTGTACATCTCCATTCAGGCCCCAAACTCTGCAGGAAGAAAKGTTTATTTATGTCCTGAAAGGCTGAACTTAGAACTTTAATACAAGTTCTGCTGCTATARCTCACTTTAATAATCTTCCTGAGTGAAAATAAAATCTGATACACCTAACCTTTCAAAATTTTAAGCCAGCATGAAGTTGCTAGTTGAAGTTAGTGCAAAACCAAAGGAAGGAAATGCAAAAACAGACACAGCTATCTCAGACCCAGAGCTGCTGAGAAAGACTGAAATCAGTCCYTGGTCTCAAACCTTGAGGATCGTAAAAGGAGAAGGAAAGAATTCAATGGTTCTGTACTGGTCAGAAGGGAAAACTGTTTACTGTATCTTTTGTATTTAAGAAAACAAGAACCAATTCTTGATTCTATCCACTGTAAACAGAACAGTGTTAGGAGGCAAAGACTAAAACAGAAGAGGCTAAAACAACTGGTTGAAAGCTGAATTTTCCATGGGTTTTGTGTGTAATGTTTCTGCATTGCTGTTCATGTTTTGACACCGCAACACTTTTTACTGCAGAGGAACTTAATTGCTGTGACCTCCAGATTTCCATAAGTTAACAGGATCTCTTTCCAGTGACTTCACAATGGAAACACACACCTATGTTTCTTTAATAGCACTTKTGCAAAATCCTCATTATAGAAAAGCCTTTCATTTCTCTCTCTATGTCTTCCTCTTGTTTCAAAGGACCACTGCATGAGTGTAACTYACTAGCAGAGCGTACCAGAGACTGAAATAGGCAAATGGGATGTAACAAATATTCAGTGAAACTCAAGGAACAGCATATAATGTTCTCAAATAGCTTCTCATGAATTCATTCTCAGTGTTCCTGTCATCTGTTGATGACACTAACTGTGGATAGATCCTTCCCTTCTCTGGGCAGGACTACYTGTGTGTCACACCATACCTATTAAAGAACCACGGCACTCCCATCAACAGCCCCATGCCTTCCTTGCTGACTGTGCTTATTCCCCACAAGCTGGCAACAAGAATGATGTTTTTGAACTCCCTCCTCTTTGGTTTCTCATCTATCACAGCCTCAACAGAAGAATTCCCATGCATGTCATTACTCACCTAACAAGTGGTGGCTCTGTATTCACGATGGGCGTTGCACATAGAGGCTTGTTTCCTTGGATGAGGCTCCTGCACCCTTCTCTTGCAGGCAAACAGTACACCCTCTGGATAACCACTCGTACCTGCACTTCTCTCCATCCCACTGCTCCCTGGCTTTCCACCATTTCAAGCAGAGAGTCATTGACAGCACTCAGTGCTGAGGGATGCTGTTTTGAATCACTGTTGTTATGGATTTGTGGAGCACAAGCAACCTGGTGAAGGAAAACCCATTAAGAGAAGCATTCCAGAGAACCTTGAAACTATGAAAAGCTAGAGAGGAGAACTTCAGCACAAGAAATCAAGCTGCAAGTGCAAAATCAGTTTCAAATCTCTTTACTGCTCCTAAAGTAACCCACGGATTAGTGGCCAGTTATTCACTGGGCATTTTTAAGGAACACTCAAGAGAGTGGCACACATGTTGTGCTCCTGTATTTAATTGGTGCTCTGGCTTGAGCTAATTCAACCCCTGAGAATGAAGGTGACACCAGCAGGAAAACAGAACTGATGTTAATTCCTATGATTCTTCCCCCTTGAATGGAGTTTCATTTTTACTTCTTTGATGTTCTGTTCCTTCCTCTTCTAAAAAAAAGGGCAAAATTCATCTTGAATACCTCTGCACTGTCAAATAAAGCTGGAAATGAACAGGTGTCTAGTCTTACAGAGTAGTAACCTAGTGCTCAGACTTACACATTTCAGTGAAAAATATTTCAATGCAAAAGAATTAGATGATTAATGGAAAGTACAAAACTTTTCAAGCAAAAACTTTATTTTTTCACTACTTTCAAAACATATTTTATTAATAAACACTTCCAAACTTGCAAAATAAATTTCATTAATACTACACTTTGCCTTAATCTAAATGAGTAGCRTAATTTATTTTGATTTTAAGTAAATCTCTCTCAGTAAAAATTGGATGCATGTGTAGACTAGCACGGTCAATATATATAGGTCCCTTTGCAGGATGAGCCAAATTTCTATTTTCCCAATGAAACGTGTGTTTATAAAAAGCTGGGCACCAAGAAAGGTTTTCAGAGTATCACAGACTGTGCCATAAGTATTATATACCAATAAAGAAGGAGAACTTGCAGTATTTAAAAGAAAATTGTGGTACGACACTACCATTTGTCTACAAAGTGGTTGCAATAAAACTTGTCTACTGAGTTTTAAATGAAGCAGTTTGTTTGTTAGGAGCTATGAGGAGAACAAGTAAATTGTTCTGATTTTCAAATACCACAGTAGAAGCCTTTTACAATTTAGAATTGAAGCAAGAAAGGTGATTAAGATTTGATTTATGTAACTTTTTAATTCCCAGGCCTATAATGGGAATTATATATAAGGCAAGCACAAAATGTTGACACCCACTGTTCTTCAAACTTGAAGGGCCAAACTTCTCAAATATTAAGAATCATTTAGGTAGCCAATATAAAGCTTTTACAAGAGCCTTACTTCCAGAAAGTGCTGGCACAGACTGTGAAGAAAACAAATCTCTAAAAATACCTCAGCTTGTACAACCACAGCTAAAGAAATGCAGAGTCAATAGACATTTTAATATAAATAAAGTCAAAATAGGAAAGAGAACAAACTGAAGGGGTGGAGATGGGAGATGATGTAATCAATTGATGCTTTAAAGAAGGGATCGATAAGGAAATTAGTTAAGACACAGGGACAGGCAAAAGGAATGTTTATTTAAAATAGTACCTTGAGTGAGTTAGAAGAAAAGAGCTATTTTTTTGCTATATAGCTATAAAGAATAAGAAAAAAATCAATGAAAAAACAAGTTATAATTACTATTTAGCACAGTAGTGAGACTTCAGCAAAATAACCTCACAGCAGTTCAGCATTTGGATGGACCAAAAGCCTCCACTAAGAAAATATTATTAAAGTAAACAGTGCATATTTTTCAGCCTTGGCTAAATGAAAGGAGAAACCAAACAGGTCAGTAATTTAGATTTTTTGTTTTTCTTATGATTTCCAAACATCTGCTCACCAACTTCTTACCAAGTGCTTAATTGTGAACCAAATGGACCATACCTGATTATCTGAAGATTCCTGGTGTGACTTATCATCAAGGTCATCTAGTCTGAAGGTCTGTGCCAAAGATATAATATTCTTCCTGATYAGCACATTTGTAAGGCCATATGTCTTCTCTCTGGCTTCTGAATGTTCACTGAGTAGCACCTTCTGACTAAAGTAGGTATTCATGATTACAGGAACATCTGCATTTTCAAGAAGCAGCTTTTGCCTGGAAAAAAAACAATTTAAGTGGCATCAAAGCCATTATAAGTTAAACTACCGATAAGCGCTATTTTAAAATACGTGTTGCATTGCATTTCTCTCCCCTTTTTTTCTACAGCTACCACTAAAATGCTTCAGAGCTGTGTTATCCAAATTGCAAATAACACACCCTGCAGATGGAGTCAGCTTGGATCAGCCCTCTTGGCTCSGGCAGAGCCCTGGGCTACTGGAGACCCACTGCATCCAGGGACAGGTGACACCTGGAAGCCAGCAGAGCTGCTGAGCCCCCAAATGCTACCCCTGGTGTGTCCGTGTTGTCAGCACAGAAATGACAGCACCAGGACCCTCCGCACACAGTCACTGAGGAACAAAAGAGCATTAATCCTGCTACGTGTTAATTCAGAGCATCCTCTCCTGGACCCAGCCTGACTCTGGCAGGACATTCCCCTCTGGTGAGTGCTTCCCACCAACCCAAATCCACAAATCCATTCTCATGCAGCTGGCAGCAAGCTGCTCCTTCCTCCTCTATTTTTCTRCAAGCAAAATCCTATGCTTTTTTAACAATATGCTGTATATTATCCTGCCTGTGAGTTTGTCACTGTCATAAACGCGCTCTCCTAGGAAGCTTTGGCTTCCAGTGCCAATGTAAATTCCCAAACAGCTCCACACACAGCAATTTCTTACCCACCAGATTAAGKGAATGTTTGCAGAATCTCTAAACACACAATAATTTCATGCCAAAGCATGTGTTTATGTTAGGGTTTTTTCCTTATGCTGGTATCACAGTTGCACATTTAGAAGTATGCTTTTTACACTACAGGACACAACTCTAATGAAGTSAGCTAACAAAACCAACCAGTAATCTCATTTTCTACAGTCCATCAAAACAGACCTAAATCCACTTGGTGACTTTACCACAGCCTGTATTTTTCTACTATTAGATTTTTATCATCTAGGAGTAAAACAAAGTCTCCTGCCTTGGCAGCAAAGCTGTGCTGACCTGTTCAGAACTTCAGCCTCTGGACTGCTCAGCACTTATACTATGGAGGCGAAGCAAGTTTCCTCATCTGTGACATTGTTTCTCAAAATGTAACCATACAGAGTTAAAAAGCAAAATGAAACAATTAAACACTCAAAAATATTATTTCTGATCTCAGTCCATATAAGATCTTCACCATGGTCTGTCTTAGAACAGACTCCTTCATTCTTTAGAGRGCACACAGCTAAAGGGAGATTGATGTATTCATATTTTCAAAGGCATATAGGAAGAGTTGCAGTAATTTTTTAAATATAATCTCTGTTACTTTATAATTAGGAAAATAAAACAGCAGCCAGATGATCTCTGCCTTTTAGGAAAAAAGGATACATTTAAAACTAAACTCGAAACTTAAAACTATGAATCATACACATAAATTATGAACAAGATGTGCTGCTTCTACTGTGAACACTCACAGAAATTATGATTTGAAACAGAAAATTCATGAGCAGTTACAGCATAAAACCAAGTCCTGACCTTCACCACAAAGAAGCCTTACTRCCATCTGTGAGCTCCCCAGAGCAGCAATTTAGGAGAGCAGCAATTCATCTCTAAAGGACACTGAGTCCCTTGACTTCAGATGAATTTGSTAACAGAGCTCCCAGTTAAGATCATGGCAGTAGCTCACAAGGCTGCCACACTGACATTGCCTGATAATTTTCTGCATTACAGGATTAAAACTGARGAATTAGCTTGGTCAGCAAACTGAGACATCTCTGATTTTATTAGATTTTTAAACTGYTCCTTACTCCTTTTTTCTAGAGAACAGAAATGTATGTAAGTTTGCTACAGATCTCAGAACAGTTTGGGCTGTCTTTACATGCAGATGTGTAATGAAAATTTTAGCACCTTCTGTCTTGAGATGTCTGTGTTCAGACCCAAAGCAAACAGGAAATCTCTCTKAACACGAGACCATTACGTCACTAATGTCAGAAGAATGTTTGCTTGATCTAAAACATCTCATTCTCTAAAAAAAAATACTGACGTTAGAAGAAAATCATTTACAGAAACTTTGAGGTTTATGGTTTTATTTTTAATTTCCAAAGCAGACATGTGATCAGGTTATTTTTTTTTTTAAGGCAGGTAGGTTTTACTGATAYTCAAATTACATGTACCATGGTTTTGCTATGCTTATGCATTCCATGTCAAGAGTACTTTTACAACYACCAAGAGCTTTCCCAGTGAAATATTCATTATTTCATCATGGCTTTACAAGGATAGTGCATAAACTTGTGGCTACTTGGTATTTCCACAAAGCAGAACTGAGGACATTTATACACTTTCAGGAGAAGTGTCCCATTTCTAAAATGCAATTAGCTCACCAAAACCACTCTCTTTAAGAAATCATTTGTTTTAGACCTGCATAGATGTGCACAGACTTAGCAGCAATTCTTCAGCTACATCAAARGAATATTCACATGCATCTACTTAAATCTTCCTTGTTTCTTAATGGACAGATATTTCACAATGAAAATAACTAGGATTAAATAGAAATAAAGCCCACTTGAAATGAAAGATGTAAGAAAGAAGTTTGTAACAAGCTCACTATTTCGTGAGATGGCTAAATGGGAATATTTTATATGTATAYATAATACAGAAAACATAAAATTGTTTCTATTTTACATACAATAAATAGAATAATTTTATTGTTTATTTACATTATTACCAAGTCTTATATATATTCTTCAATATAAAGAATAGAATTATTAATATAGTATAAATTAGTTGAATGAAAACTGGTTTGCCAGAAATTCTTTCTAGTATTGCTCAGMAAAAACAAGTTCTGCAGGATGGCAACTTTGGCTGTCCTCATGGCAGAAATCTCTGCATTGCCACAGTATATTATTCATCCCRTTCTCTTTGCAACAAAGGCAATCATGTTAGAGACACAGGTACTCCTTAATTCTTTTTGTCTGTTTGGAAGGTACAGACCAGGGCAGAGAAAGCCTATCGTGCTGGAAGAGTTGGGAAAAGAAAAATCCCTTCCCCAAGCAATCCCTGCATGTGCTGCCCCTGTGACTGAGACACCAAAACTGATCACYTCAACTTTAAACATCTGTTCAGCTGCAGATTCTCTACACCCGCAAGTAGCCCTACTCTAGGATACTGAATACACTCCGTAGCACCCTCTTAGCACATCAAGTGTTAAATRGGCATTGCAAGTCTTCTGTGACCTCTCTTAAACTGCTTCTTTTCTATCTGCTTCATTATATTTTAAAAGCTAGATTCCAWAGAATGAGAGACACCATCTCATTCAGCAAATCACAGAGACGATGGGAAAAAAAAAAAAGCATACTACAGATTAGAAAACCCCCTGAGACAGTTTCTTGTACTCTCTTGATTTTTTTCTTGCTCAGCAAAGGACGTTTAAAAGTTGGATTAGTAGTTGACTTCCTTAGTAACTGCCTTTAGACCTTTGTAATGACCTGAAGTAGAGACTGGGAACTTTTTATACTACAGGGCATTTTTTTTCCTGGTATGTAGACAATCAGCAATTGCCGTAAGTGGTCACATGCTAAAGGAACATGAGGCAATAATTTTTTTTTCTTTTTCTTTTTCCAGCAGCAGCGTACTTCTCTGTCCAAGAACATAGCTTGCTTTTTCTCTTCCTCCCTCCTACGATGGAGACCAACTAGAAGCAGGAGATGTCAGTGCCCTCTTCTATGTTAATTGTGGTCTGTCCCCATCCGAGGTGTGAAACGYGGCAGAATGTACAGCATGGCACTGGCTAAAGGAGCTGATGTTTCCATTTGAGGCAGGGTCTTAATCCTGGGGCAAACTATGGGCGGGTTTGCACTGTGGTCTGCCCTGCACAGCCCATCCACAGCCAGCGAGGAGTTGTGACTCCACGGCAGCAGCGAGCTCACAAACCACACGCTTCCGCTCAGTTCTGCTGACATCAGACGGTGCTGCTGGTTCATGAACTCGAGAAGACTCTGGATCGCTTTAAATTAGAGAACATCGTTTTTTGTTCACTCTCCCTGGGTATTTTACTGGGCTTTTGTTTTTTGTTGGTTTTTTTCTTTTCCTCTGCAAAGTGTAAAACGCCTAGAGGTTTTTTTTTCTTTTAAGAGTATACTTCACTAACCAAACAATGTTAACATTTCAGTGACCTATAGCTTGCACTGTAATTATGAAACAGGCTATTCTCACATCTCAGAACAATGATTTCTGCATAAAGAAGGTTTAACATCCACCAAGTAGCACAGCAGTAATTAGTGTAGAACAAGAGTGTGCCAGAGCCTCACACTGTTGCCCAGAACTATGAGGAATCATTCCCCATAGGAACAACAGGACCCATCCCTGCCTTCCCAGGAATTGCTTGTTTCATCCAATCTAGAAGAAGTTGCTCATGCTGCCTCTTGCTTGGGGTTGTGTGGCACTTCTAACGTTTTATCTGTGAAATCAACAAGAAGTGCCTGAGTACTTAGCTAATGATAACAACTGGAAAACAAATCCCCCCCCCCCAAACCCCAAAAAGACTTCACAACTTCGAAACAGATCTCTGTCCAGACATCATCCAAGGACACTAACCATCTTCTCAGTATATAGCCCAAATCAACCATCCAGTTGGGACAGWCCTACTTTCTGCCATGCCTAGAGATTGCCCAAACACAGAATTTTCATCCATCAGTGAGTAATCTGACCCCTTTTGTGTGAGCCTCCACCAGCGTCATTTACTGCCGCTGTAACGCTACATGGACACTGATTCTGAGATCACACTTTCATAATACAAAACTTCTTTCCATGCCCCAACGTCAAAGACAGAAAATTGGTGTCTCTTTCATTGAAATTATCTTWTTCAAAGCAATGGATTATCGTGGTACAAGTTCTCAAGGCTGATTGTGGTCTTTTCCCCGTGAAGAAACAGCATTAACCATCTAGATCAACGTCCAGAGTCACATCCGTCATATATACAATTCTCAGTGTCAGGTTTCCAAATGTGGTTTCAGCGCCTTAGAATAGCAGGT